GTTCTACTGGTCGTCACACCAAATCAATTTGGTAGTTCTACTGGTCGTCACACCAAATCAATTTGGTAGTTCTACTGGTCGTCACACCAAATCAATTTGGTAGTTCTACTGGTCGTCACACCAAATCAATTTGGTAGTTCTACTGGTCGTCACACCAAATCAATTTGGTAGTTCTACTGGTCGTCACACCAAATCAATTTGGTAGTTCTACTGGTCGTCACACCAAATCAATTTGGTAGTTCTACTGGTCGTCACACCAAATCAATTTGGTAGTTCTACTGGTCGTCACACCAAATCAATTTGGTAGTTCTACTGGTCGTCACACCAAATCAATTTGGTAGTTCTACTGGTCGTCACACCAAATCAATTTGGTAGTTCTACTGGTCGTCACACCAAATCAATTTGGTAGTTCTACTGGTCGTCACACCAAATCAATTTGGTAGTTCTACTGGTCGTCACACCAAATCAATTTGGTAGTTCTACTGGTCGTCACACCAAATCAATTTGGTAGTTCTACTGGTCGTCACACCAAATCAATTTGGTAGTTCTACTGGTCGTCACACCAAATCAATTTGGTAGTTCTACTGGTCGTCACACCAAATCAATTTGGTAGTTCTACTGGTCGTCACACCAAATCAATTTGGTAGTTCTACTGGTCGTCACACCAAATCAATTTGGTAGTTCTACTGGTCGTCACACCAAATCAATTTGGTAGTTCTACTGGTCGTCACACCAAATCAATTTGGTAGTTCTACTGGTCGTCACACCAAATCAATTTGGTAGTTCTACTGGTCGTCACACCAAATCAATTTGGTAGTTCTACTGGTCGTCACACCAAATCAATTTGGTAGTTCTACTGGTCGTCACACCAAATCAATTTGGTAGTTCTACTGGTCGTCACACCAAATCAATTTGGTAGTTCTACTGGTCGTCACACCAAATCAATTTGGTAGTTCTACTGGTCGTCACACCAAATCAATTTGGTAGTTCTACTGGTCGTCACACCAAATCAATTTGGTAGTTCTACTGGTCGTCACACCAAATCAATTTGGTAGTTCTACTGGTCGTCACACCAAATCAATTTGGTAGTTCTACTGGTCGTCACACCAAATCAATTTGGTAGTTCTACTGGTCGTCACACCAAATCAATTTGGTAGTTCTACTGGTCGTCACACCAAATCAATTTGGTAGTTCTACTGGTCGTCACACCAAATCAATTTGGTAGTTCTACTGGTCGTCACACCAAATCAATTTGGTAGTTCTACTGGTCGTCACACCAAATCAATTTGGTAGTTCTACTGGTCGTCACACCAAATCAATTTGGTAGTTCTACTGGTCGTCACACCAAATCAATTTGGTAGTTCTACTGGTCGTCACACCAAATCAATTTGGTAGTTCTACTGGTCGTCACACCAAATCAATTTGGTAGTTCTACTGGTCGTCACACCAAATCAATTTGGTAGTTCTACTGGTCGTCACACCAAATCAATTTGGTAGTTCTACTGGTCGTCACACCAAATCAATTTGGTAGTTCTACTGGTCGTCACACCAAATCAATTTGGTAGTTCTACTGGTCGTCACACCAAATCAATTTGGTAGTTCTACTGGTCGTCACACCAAATCAATTTGGTAGTTCTACTGGTCGTCACACCAAATCAATTTGGTAGTTCTACTGGTCGTCACACCAAATCAATTTGGTAGTTCTACTGGTCGTCACACCAAATCAATTTGGTAGTTCTACTGGTCGTCACACCAAATCAATTTGGTAGTTCTACTGGTCGTCACACCAAATCAATTTGGTAGTTCTACTGGTCGTCACACCAAATCAATTTGGTAGTTCTACTGGTCGTCACACCAAATCAATTTGGTAGTTCTACTGGTCGTCACACCAAATCAATTTGGTAGTTCTACTGGTCGTCACACCAAATCAATTTGGTAGTTCTACTGGTCGTCACACCAAATCAATTTGGTAGTTCTACTGGTCGTCACACCAAATCAATTTGGTAGTTCTACTGGTCGTCACACCAAATCAATTTGGTAGTTCTACTGGTCGTCACACCAAATCAATTTGGTAGTTCTACTGGTCGTCACACCAAATCAATTTGGTAGTTCTACTGGTCGTCACACCAAATCAATTTGGTAGTTCTACTGGTCGTCACACCAAATCAATTTGGTAGTTCTACTGGTCGTCACACCAAATCAATTTGGTAGTTCTACTGGTCGTCACACCAAATCAATTTGGTAGTTCTACTGGTCGTCACACCAAATCAATTTGGTAGTTCTACTGGTCGTCACACCAAATCAATTTGGTAGTTCTACTGGTCGTCACACCAAATCAATTTGGTAGTTCTACTGGTCGTCACACCAAATCAATTTGGTAGTTCTACTGGTCGTCACACCAAATCAATTTGGTAGTTCTACTGGTCGTCACACCAAATCAATTTGGTAGTTCTACTGGTCGTCACACCAAATCAATTTGGTAGTTCTACTGGTCGTCACACCAAATCAATTTGGTAGTTCTACTGGTCGTCACACCAAATCAATTTGGTAGTTCTACTGGTCGTCACACCAAATCAATTTGGTAGTTCTACTGGTCGTCACACCAAATCAATTTGGTAGTTCTACTGGTCGTCACACCAAATCAATTTGGTAGTTCTACTGGTCGTCACACCAAATCAATTTGGTAGTTCTACTGGTCGTCACACCAAATCAATTTGGTAGTTCTACTGGTCGTCACACCAAATCAATTTGGTAGTTCTACTGGTCGTCACACCAAATCAATTTGGTAGTTCTACTGGTCGTCACACCAAATCAATTTGGTAGTTCTACTGGTCGTCACACCAAATCAATTTGGTAGTTCTACTGGTCGTCACACCAAATCAATTTGGTAGTTCTACTGGTCGTCACACCAAATCAATTTGGTAGTTCTACTGGTCGTCACACCAAATCAATTTGGTAGTTCTACTGGTCGTCACACCAAATCAATTTGGTAGTTCTACTGGTCGTCACACCAAATCAATTTGGTAGTTCTACTGGTCGTCACACCAAATCAATTTGGTAGTTCTACTGGTCGTCACACCAAATCAATTTGGTAGTTCTACTGGTCGTCACACCAAATCAATTTGGTAGTTCTACTGGTCGTCACACCAAATCAATTTGGTAGTTCTACTGGTCGTCACACCAAATCAATTTGGTAGTTCTACTGGTCGTCACACCAAATCAATTTGGTAGTTCTACTGGTCGTCACACCAAATCAATTTGGTAGTTCTACTGGTCGTCACACCAAATCAATTTGGTAGTTCTACTGGTCGTCACACCAAATCAATTTGGTAGTTCTACTGGTCGTCACACCAAATCAATTTGGTAGTTCTACTGGTCGTCACACCAAATCAATTTCTACTGGTCGTCACACCAAATCAATTTGGTAGTTCTACTGGTCGTCACACCAAATCAATTTGGTAGTATTAGGTCAAATCAAATTCATTTAGTAGTTCTAAGCCGTATACAATTAATTTCAAAGTTCTAGGCCACTATAAAATATTTTTAATTTTAAGCCAAATCAAATTATTTTTGTAATTTCCAGGCAGCAACGGGTACCGGAATTTTATTTTTCTGTAAAATTACTGTAAATAAGATTGTTGTGGCCTTAAAAGTTATATAGAAATTGGAAGCCTGAAGGGATCGGTGAACCAGACAACACAAGATAATGCCTGATCTGTCAGGAATGGAGACAAATCTATTGTGACTGACCACTGTCCAGCTCATTATGACCACAGCCAAAGCTTGGTCGGCTTAATGTATGAATTTTATGAAAAATATTTCGGGTTAATTCAAATTAATTAATTTGAAATTTAGTAGAAATGATTTGTTGAAGCAGAAATATTTGTGTGTATAAAATCTGAGTTTGGGGAAGTTTGAATCTCTGCGATTGTTCACCACCACTTGTGTGGGTGGAGAAGCTTAGTAGAGCTGTGTGTGGGTTTTGACACATCTATAGACAGGGATGACCAGAAGACATCAGCAGCTGATAATCAGGTGGAAATGATTGTCAAGTGTTCGGGAGACTGTGAACACTGTTATATGGTAAAAGTTTATAATGGCGGGATACCAAGGATAGACTTTCCCTTAATCCAGGATCTGTTTTAACATCGCAGTAAATGTGATGTTCCTATATTGTTGTCAATGGTGTGGGACCGTTTATAATGTGATGACACCAGTACTAGTGATATTGTAATTATATGTTAATTAGGTGGTGCTAATTAATTAGTTCCTGAGTGGAAGCCACATGATAATTAAGCTGATGCTGACTGTGTTAGATAACGTGTAGGACTTAAATTGATGGCATATATTTATCAGAACAGTGCCCTGAGTTTATGATATATGAATTACAAGGGGACATCCTGGCTTGTGGCAGTTTAGTCAGAGGGATCGTGATTTGTTTGATTGCAGTGGTTGTATTGTAGTATTTCTGTTTCATCTATGGAATAACCATCAAGATGTACCAGTTCTGGAAATGAAATCATTTTGTTTGCATCAAATATATTGGGATCATTTGTGGTGTTGCAGTGTTAGTTGGGGGCACCAGCAGGGGTGATGTTGCAGTGTTAATTGGGGGGCACCTGTTATAATTGGGGGGCACCAGCAGGGTTCAGTAGTCTGGGCTGTGTCTGTTTTGAAGGAATTTGCCACCTGCCCCTGTCCTGGCCGGCCTGACTTTCCTAATCCACTCCACCCTGCCGCTACAGTCAAGGATACAGTACCACAAACACGTGGGTATGGACACCCTGTACGATCCTATAGCAGACCAGGTGTACTCTGCTTGGCGTTTAAGGAGGTGAAAGTTTGAAGGTCTAAAATTCCTGTCCATTGACTGATTCACCCACCATCAGATCTGTGTATTATTTAACAGTGTTACTGCGACAGGTAAATCTACCAAAGGATGAGTGGATTTGTAGACATTGTACGTACCGGGATACTACATGTACCTGGGGAGACTTTCTGTACCTAGCGGTGTCGATCTACAGGAGACACAGGTAAAAGTCGGCTTAATATTACCGGCTATCAGCGGTCAGTGTTAGAACTGGACATTACCACTGGTCATATATACCGGGCCATCAGTAGATCTGTCTGGTATTTCACTGAACAGAAGTTGAAGGTTTTAGATATAAGTTGAGAGTTTGGACAAGTAAGGAGGTAAAAGTTGGATGTTAATTTACAGATGATAACAGTGCTACGCTAACTGTATGTACCTGAGGTCGAACTCGCCTGTACAGCACACCTGAGACGGGAATAGTCACTAACGACCCTATCCCTGATCATATGGACTGTAATAGGTGGTGTCGGATACTCATTTGTCGTTTTGAGACAAAACAGCAGTAAAAGTCATACATAGTCGACAATGATATGACGTTCACTTATTACGTTGCGTGGAAGTCGTGAACGGTGTAAACAGCGTGTGGGTCACCGAAACACTTGTTGACGGCGGCCTTGAGGGCTCACTTGTATATATGCAGCCTTGTTATGTTGGCTTACACTTAGAGGATTTACACAGATGTGTTTACACCTGTTACTTTTACACTTGTACAGATTACATCTGGAAGATTTACACCTGGTAGTGTGTACACCAGAGGAAGTTATACGAATGTAATTGATACATATATCGGATATTTACCTGTAGAATTCTTACCAGAAGGATTGAACTTTCGTTAAACGTGTACCTGTTTGATATTGAATCAACTTGGGAGTTTTAAACTGTTGAGTTTACACTGGTGGTCCTGAACTTTTGATTTACATAATTATTACGCCATGATTCCTCGGCGTAATCAGAGGACTGGGGGGTTATCCAGTGCTTCTTTCTCGTCGAGAGGCATACCAAACACCTCGTCGACAGTACATAGTGCATCAGCGTCCATTTTATTGCGTGAACGTGAACATCAACATCAACGGGACCACAACGGGCCCAAATCTCCACAGAGTCCAAAATCTCCCGACGAAATTAAACATCCTTCACGCTCAGCCTCATTTTCATCACAACACTCGAATAATAACTCGACGAAATCTGCCACAAATACATCCAAACCATCGGTAAGTGTTATTAGTAAATGTCAAAAAGTGTTTTTCCATGTAACCTAGACTTGCACAAGTTCTCTCGTTATACCATTATACTTGTAAAAGTACAGTTATCCTGTGTTACCTTATATTACAACTGTACCCCTGATCACAGGTACTAGCCTTGCCTGTCAATAACCAATACTATGAGTTTATGTTAGTGGTGTATTGACAGACAAGGCTAGTACCTGTGCCCTGATCAGCCATGATGACATGCATCTGGTCCTTAATTGTGATATATTATTCCCAATATAATTCCTACAAAATGTAGGAATCACATGACCATTAATATTTCTTTTTAATAAATAATCAAGGAAAGTGGGGGAGGGAAGATTAGATATGGGACACCTGCTGTCTGACGATTTGGGGTGGTGATTCATACAAGTTTATATTTGTTGTGATAAATTTACAATTCAAATTTATGAAGGTGCGTGTATATAGAGAACATGAATGATGCCAGTCTTTCTGTGGATATGAATATATAACAACTCGGTAGAACTCCTCGGTGTAAGTTGTAAACATGTGTAGCCTACACCTAAACTGAAGGTCACTACCTATGTACCGGATTGTTATATTGTATCCATACTGGAGACACTCATTGAATGTCATGACGAAGTAGAGTAGAACTGAACCTGCTTTGATATTGAAAACTTACAATTAGACGTACAAAATATCATATTTTATAATTGTTGTCTCCTTACACTATAAGATATGGAAAAGTATTCCCACATGGTACTATCAGAACTGTTCTGGTAATGTCACATTTACCAGTTCACATGAAGTTACCAAACTTGGTATACTGATGATGCTTCCCAATTCAATCTGTTCATCTATTGGAAAGTTTTCCTGGGACATATCGCCAGTTCTTTAAAAAAATAAATGATATGCTGACAGGGCGGAGTGTTTGTGTACCACAAGAAGGTCACTGTGGATTGTAATTTAACTTCTGATTTCAAACTTTAAAACACTTGGGTATGCCTCCTACATATACTATTTCACCTGGAGTTAACACAATTTTGTATTGAAGTTAATGTTGAGATGACAGAGTGTCATATATACAAAGCAAGTCACTTAGACCTTTGACCCCAATCATTGAAACAATTATACCCCCGGGTCCAATCCCACTTCCCTCTGTAACATCTCTCAAGATTCCTGTCACAATCTGTAGTTACTGTCTGATAGGGGATGAAAAAAAGGGTGAAATGGAGAGTTAGGGTAAAATGGGGTGATATCCGGAACTTGGGTGATATGTAGAGTTGGGGTGATATAGGGTTAAATGGGGAGTTGGAGGGATATTAGGTTAGATGGGGAGATGGAGGGATATGAGGTTAGATGGGGAGATGGAGGGATATGGGGATAGATGGAGTTAGAGGGATATGGAGTTAGATGGGGAGTTAGAGGGATATTAGGTTAGATGGGGAGTTTGAAGGATATGAGGTGAGATGGAGGGATATGGGGATAGATGGGATGTTAGAGAGATATGGGGATAGATGGGGAGTTGGAGGGATATAGGGTGAGATGAGGAGAGACTGGAATGAATGTGTAACAAAGCCTGTACAGGTTTATGATTAGACTGTCACCTCCACTCTCAGCCCTGATGTAGGGAGGCACAGACAAACAGATGGTCCTCATCAGGATCCTGTTTATTATCAACAAAACTGGCTGACCTATTGTAAACTGGTACACTGAGAAGTGTTGGTGGTGTGGAGGAGAGGTTAGAGGTGATGGATGAGCTATAGGTACCACTTACTTGTCTGTCATCTCTAGAACTTACAGCCAGCAAGGTTGTATTGAGATTCTGACTTAGTGCCATGTGTTCATTATATGTGACATTGTACAATATTTCCTGAGTCTTAAAGTAATTCATGGGTGGGGAGAGTTTTCTTAGCTTAAACGTATTATGAAAGTACTAGTGAACCATGTCTGTGTTGTCATACCAGCTGTGTTAAGTGAAGGAAGTGAGGCCAAGTAAAAAAACAAAACCTGTTCCTTATAATTCTAGTACAATATATTTACCTGTATACATGTGTGTATATGTATGAATATATTCCAGAATGTATTTTATGAAAACCTCAGGTGAGAGATACATGAGTTAAAGTTCATATACAGGTACATCTAGTTGACACCTGTGGCTGATAGGGGTGACCTGTAAATGTTGTTTTGTATTAAACACCGAGATAGATATCCAGGTAACACCAGGTCACACGCAGGTCGACAGTTTTACACCTGAGGGATGTACATTAGGTACAGCACCAGAAAACATGAAGTACATACATCTCACATCCTGTCCTGACCCATTTATCTCAAATTACTGGCAGGAAAGAATCAATTCTCAAAGACGTCCTGTTGCTTAAATCCCATCGTAATAATAAAGTTTAACGCTTTCACCACTGTAGACCATAATGGACTCATCCAGATCAAACCATGGAAGAGTTTACTAAAGTTACATAGGGGTGAAAGGGTTAATACAAATGTAAACTTGTATCTTCTGTTGTGATGTTCAGAGTCAGGTGATGCTTCATGCTCACTAACCCCAGCGTGACAACAAGTCAATGTAAATAGAATCTCAGGTTCCTATAGTGATGTGATGTCACACGATTTCCCATTCACTCAGTCGTCTTACTTATCATGATAACTTTATTTTTTTTAAGAATATGATATAATCTGAAAATATCTGAGAGACTCGTCAACAAAATGACATCCCCCAGGTTGATAAGACAGAAATTTGGTAAATAGTGACAAGAGACACGGAAGTGTAAAGTTAACTAACAAGTTGTAGAAATGGATACAAAAGATAAAGATCCCATTTGTTGCAATCAGGGAAGCTCATTTATTAAGAGTTTTGGTATCTTGAATGACCTAATGTCGAAGAAACCCTCAATTCTGCCGACAGCCCACATCAGTCAGCTCGTACAATCATGCAGTGGGACGAAGATTCTTTCCCCAAAGTTTCACAGACATTTCCCAGCAGCTATGTGATGTCACACCCGGCTACTGTTCCGAGGTGTACCACATAGGTATATATAGCAGAGACACACTACACTGTACATTTCAGTCTATATATTTGATAGAATGAAATGTACAGTGTAGTGTGTTAAATGCAGTCATTTGATATAAGATATTCACATTTAATAACTGAGGTTTTGTATGCCACCTTCCCCTCCCGCTATGATATGGGGAGGGCGACGTATAGTGTTTCCCTTTAGTGTATGTCTTACAGTTCAGGGCTAGACAACAGGAGTAGCTCCATCTGGACTAGTGGTTCTAAAAACTGCTAGCCCAATTGACTAGTCAAAATTTGATATTGCTTATCTTGTTGAATATTTTTTGGTTTGTTGAGTTTGCACATGGACTAGTGAAAATTGGAAACTACTAGCCCTACTGACTAGTGGTTCTCTAAGTAAATTTCTAGCCCTGACAACTTACATACTGAGGTAGTTTGAATGCATTCATGTTTCAGCATTTCAAACTAAAGTCATGGTCACCTTTACTCTGTTGCCTTAATCGGTGTTAAGATTTCCATAGAGTACGGTAGTCCAGTGGTAGGACGCTTGGCTCAGGACCAAAGGGTTGCGGGTTCGCGCCACAGCACGGCAATGTGTTGTATCCTTGAGCAAGATACTTTACTCCGCTTGTTCCAGTCTACTCAGCTGTAAATGAGTATGTGGTTGGGCAGTGCTAGAATTGTTGAATGCTAGCTGTTAGCGCGGAAATAACAGCTCCGGCTGTATGTTCCCCAGGGAGTTAAGAAATGTATTGGCTTGTTGCAAAGGCCCTATAACCATGGATAATAATTTGTGAACTGCTTTGAGACGACCTACGAACTAGGATGTGATAAAGCGGTATATAAGAACCTCCAATTATTATTATTAGGGAATAAGACACTATACCAACAAGTTTTCTATCACAGTAATGGAGTATTTTACACTTAATATCGAGGTCACTGTTACAGTAATTACTTTGTATAGAAAAATCTTCTAATTGATATTGCACCTTCATTTATGGTTGAATTTTCATTTTTCTGCTCTAAGTCAATGGAAGTTGTTTTCTTGAAAAGTAAGTCAAACAAGTCTAGGTAGATGTAGTGAGTTTGTGTAGTGTTTCTACCTGTCTCATTGAAATTATGGGTATTGTACCAGCATTGACTTGGTGTTTTTAAATGTCATCTATCAAGACTGTTGTCATGAAGACATCTAAACTCTAGAATATTAATTTTCATAGGTTTATTACCTCCTATAATGTATAACCAAAATATTCACAGTACACTGTTTTCGCTTACTATATCTCCCTGTCCTTGTCTCCTCCTGATCAAGCTCTCATCTCCTATCTGACTCTACTCTACAGTCCCTGCTCTCTTGCTGATTTTATCTATTTATATAAGATTTACATCTCCTCATTATGGCTGTTTCGGCCATTCAGTAGACAGTAACCCTGGCTACCTGCAGCTTGGGTGCCTTCATTAGATTTCAGCGACTCTCACTGAAGTTAACCCCTGAGGACACTTACCTATCGATGGGTTCACCAGCAGGTCTACAACACTGTGCTTTTAAAACTGTCAATGATACGTAAACTAATTATGACAGATTGGGTTTTCTAGTTTGTACTGATGTTATCTAACTCTTACCAATCGTATTTGTTTAAAATGCAGTTTTGACCTACTTGACTTCAAGCCACTTCAAACGATTGATTAACCCATTCACCCCTGAAATTTCCTACTGAACTATTCCAACCTTTGAATTGGAAGAGTTCAAATGTGTCTTCAGAGGTGAATGAGTTAAGCAACACTATTTCAATAACACTTTAGAAACTACACAACATATACAATGAAATGATACAAACATTGTGGGTAAATGATAACTATTAATTGGAAACAATGCATCAAGCTTTAGGTGACGTGTCAAGCCCAATCAGGTTTTAATCAGGGTGATATTAGATCATATCACCCAGCTGACCATCACCCTACAGCAAGAAGTAAA